AGATCGCTACATCTTACAGTAAGAGGAAAAAAGATATTTCCGTAATCCTTCTTGAATTAAAATGTATAGATGAAATTTTCCTGGCTGACAAAGGGTAAAAGAATATTTCAAATTTGAAGGAAAATTTAAAAGCAGGATCAAGACGTCTTCTAGGTTGGTGAAGTCTTACCTTCGAAGTACTGAAAAAGCATGATGATTGAATCAGGACATATCAAACTTTGGGTTTGGTTCCGGTTTAAGAATAAGGGCTAATGAACGCACCATTATGGTAATTTTTTCTGTTCGAGGAGATTATGCTCTTCTATTAAGAGATCAAAAGCTTGAAGTATCGACTCTATGCCGAGTACTTCAGCGCGCGAAATTTGAGTTCATCAGTAATGGCCTAAATGACAATTAGAACTTGTTTTGGTGGAGGTTTAAAGACGTTTTTGTCAACAAAAACTACTTACTTACCAGGTGAAGAAGGGTAAATGGTGCAGGTACAGAGGAGGAGCGGTAAAACTCTATGACATATTAAAGATTCAGAACTCAGGCACGATCGAGCGTCTATCACGACTTGCTTAACTTGCTTCACTTTTTTAGAGAAAACATAGGAGAACTTCGTTGTTTTTTTGTGCATTTTGTTGTTAAGTTTCAAATAAATTCATGGGAGTAACCTACAAATGATACTTAGAACCAAAAAGAACATGTTCTATTTAATGTTAGTGCTTTTGTTCGGTAATATTTACAAATTCGAGTTCTTCCCCTTACGCAGGATACAATTTTGCATCACCAAGTCAACAAATCCATATGACCAGCCAAGTGCAGTGTTTACCACAAACTGCCACTCCTACTTCGTCAAACGGTAAGTGAACGAAACCCGGGCTCCTGAAAAAGGCTAATTTTTTAAAGACCTTTACTTATCTATCGGAAGCTTTACCATGTTTTTATAAACAATTTCCTCGCCCAAATGTAATTCCCTTTAAAACCAGCATCGTTTCATAAAGAACATGTTTCAAACAAACTTAAAAATACACAATCTAATGATAAAAAACATAATAGCGTTATTAGCTATTGCTGTGAGACTGAGCCTAATAAAGTAGGCATGAATAGACTAAGCGAGTGAGGCTAAAACTGACAAAGTAAGAAATATGTACGTTTTGTTTGCAGTGCACGGGGTCCACCCGACACCAGCCTCTGCTATGGCAACGACCTTCTATGCTGCTTCAAGTGTAAACGTTCAACCAGATCCTTCTCAGTTTCAATTTCATTTACCGGCGGAATGCGATCAAAGTTGTCACAACACAGTTGGAAGTTACACTTGCTCTTGCGTTGGTGGATACCAACTGGCTGCTAACGGGAAATCGTGCTTGGGTAAAATTTATTAAACAAGAAAAGTTGTTTGGTGATATTTTTATTGTGCAGCTACAAATTTTAGTGGGAAAAGCAATAACGACAACGAATTGTTTGACGCGTTCGCGATTGAAATAACAGATCGCTGTGTCGATTTGTTCAGCTTCGCTGCCTAATTATCGTTAAAAAAATGCTGTTCCATACTTTTCAATAGTTCCCAATCAATTTGATTCATTACACCCTGACTCAAGTATCTATGCTCTTCACGCTGTTCTCGATAGATTTCTTAGGGTGCATACCAAGGAAAGTTTATGTAACAATTAGCAGCTTCTTTAGTTGATCATTTTCTTTATTCTCGTAACCTTAATGTGAGATTCAGAAGCCATGCTGAAAGGAGATATCTGATGCTAGTCACACTTAGGGTCAAAGGGCTCATGATATAGACTTGAGACCCCCAAAGTTACTCTCCTCTTCTTGTACGCGTTTTCCATTATCCCAAGGTGTCCATTGTCAGTTTAGCTTGCAATTTAAATATTTTACGTGGCTGAGTTTTTTCCTTCAATTTTCTAACTTTTTATTTCTTTTTACACAGACGCTGATGAATGCGCGATCAATAATGGTGGCTGTAGCCATCATTGTTACAATGTCCCTGGATCATTTTACTGTGGCTGTCCAGACGGAATTAGTATGGGTGCTAACAATTTGACTTGTGTTGGTAAGAAATGTGAGCCGTTACCTTTTCTCTACTGACGACAATTTCTGCCCCTGATTTCTGAGTGGAAATGAATAACGATCAATAATGAAAAAGTATGTGGG